GGAAACACACTTGTACCGGTCTGAGTAGTCTGGTAAGGAAGCCTACTACTGAGTCTGCTGATCACGATCAGCGACAGCGCTAGATCCTACAAATCGGAAAATCAATATCGGAATCCTAATATGAATAATAAAACCTTTATTTAAACAATTTACAAAAACCTACGAGTAACTCTATGAGAATGAGGATTTAGCGGATCTAACGTACGACAAGCACCGGACCTAATCGACCCTCGATCGGGAGAAACACGAGCACCTTCATAAAAATATTTTTTCGAATCAATTTAATAACCAAATCTCAAAAATAAGCAAAAATGCTAAAAATACTAAGCATTTTCGGATTAACGAGCTCAATTCAGAGCTTTCGGGTAAAATTTTGGCAAAACAGAGCACAAAATCGGACTCAGGACGTTGAAAAATGTCAAGATGGAGGTTTTTGAAAAAAAAGTCAACGATGGTCAACGTCTGACCAGTTCAGTTTGGGTAAAATACAGTAAGACTTTCATGTATTTAAGGTTCAGGTTCGAATTTGAGTTTGAGGTTTCAATCTAGTTAATTTTAAGTTTTTTTTTTCATTTCGAGCCTTTTCGAGCTGCTCACGAGCTTCGATTCAGGATTTCAAGTTCGAGTCGAGCTTAAAAATTTTAAGCTCACGAGTTTTCGAGTCGAGTCGAGCTCTATTTCAGAGTTTTCGAATCAAGTCGAGTTCAGCAATACTCGAGCTCGACTCGACTCGTTTACACCCCTATGAGCGATGTTGATGTCGGAGCAACAGTCGGAAGTCAAACGACGATCAAAGTTTCTTAGCTAACAAAGAATGTTTGAAGAGAGAGAGAGAGAGAGAATGAGTTTCCAAAAATGGAAACGGTTGAATTTTGGGTTTTAAACCCCAAATAAAAAGTAAAATGGGTAAATTACACTATAAGTTCTCAGGCTTTGGTTACTTTTTGATTTGGGTATAAATTTAATTGAAACTTCGTTTTAGTCCCCGAATTTAATTAAAATTTCAATTTAGTTATCGGAAAAATTTTAAAAAAAAATTTAGGCCTAATTTGGGGTGTGACAACTTGCATAAATTGCAAACAATGAGGACACGCATATCATGTACGTGCAATAAATAGTTTCAAAATAGAAAGCCTACTCACCAAGAAAACAAATAAATAGCAGGAAAAAGAATACCTTTGTTTAGATAACAGGTGAAATCTGAATGGAAAATCATACAAGTAGGAAAACATCAAGCTAGGCATGGAAAAACACCAAACCTTCCACAAAATGCGGACAAAAGACGCGTTTCCTTATCCCCTATGTCATCATCATCAATTCTTGCTTTGTACAAAACTGATAATGGCAGTGACTCCCACGTTTGACTCTCTGGAATACAGAACCAGGCATCGGATACCAAACAACAACCATCAACAAAGCATCTGGTCCAATCAGATGAAACTTTGGTTGAGCAATCAAGCATACTCTTTAACCTCTTTGTCCAAGTTACACAGCCAACATGGGCAACCATAATGATACCCAATCCAGGAGAACTATTTTTATAACCTTGGGCATTAATGGTAGACTTGTAAGAAGTATCTACAACCTAGTTAGGGCAGCCCATCACACCTAACACAATCTCTCCTTCAACTACTAGAGATAAACCTACGTGAAAAATTCAAAATATGCCCTCAGCCAAGAAAGTGACAAAGAAAGACCGTGCTTATGCAAATAGCATAACATGGCTTAAAGTGGAAAAAATTACTAACCAAAGAACTTCTCAAATGTCGATTTCATTGCAAAACTAAACCAGAACCGAAAATGTTTCATTTGATTGTAATGCATCATCAATGTACAACGGAATGGTGTTTCTGAATAAGACTTGTTAAATAAGTCAAGCTGAATGTGGCACTTTATTTTTCTGCGCTAGACCTACTAAATTCACAAGACAATTCATGGCACTAAGACAAGATTTCGAATTAGAAAAAAAGAGGTGACTTGAAGCAGAATGCAAGTGATCCAATTATCTGCATCAAGTTTTTGGACTTAACCATGTCAATAAAGCACATCCCAATCATATCACCTGGAAAATATTTTTTACTTTTCCATCAGCAGAAATCAAAACTGCAGTTTGCAGGTAAGCCTATGTAGATTGTACCCAATATGTGGCTGATTTTGTTCCCATAGCAAAAGCATTCTTTCCCCCTCTGTCAATTGCTTCCAGCACATCATCATGTGACAATGATTCCTCATCAATGCTTGTTTTATCAGATACTGCACTTACTACAGGATCCACCAGATAGTTTGAACGTATAAAACTAGAGTCCTCCTCTGCCACCAATGGAATAAAAGGGAATAATTTACTTAATTCTATCACCGAAAGCAAAGAAGAAACACAAGTTTAGTTTCAACCGTTTAAATTTACTTGTTAATCAACCAATAAGCACCACTTGATTTGCCATGTTACACATCTTTTGCCACAGCACTACAGCAGTACGTCATATATATATGCATATATTTGAAAGCATAAATCATATATTTTCATTGGAAAATTGGACTGAACTATAAAGTCTACTAACAAGTCACAAGGTGAATTCAACTATGGCAAAAGCTTATTACTGTACGGCAGATTCTATTTTAAAATTAAAGCCTTTCGTTTTCAAATCCTAGTAATTAAGCAAAATATGCAACAAACAGAACAATTATCATACTACATGAGGCATTAATGAAAATACCTAAACTAACAAGAGCTTGGACTCCAAAATCTGCCACTGCGACCGGAGTTTGGTCTTTCTTTTCGAAAATCTGCCCTTCAACAGAGAACATAGACCTTTGCACCTATAATCCAAAAATAAATAATTAAAAAACGAATCTTTTTAAAATCAGTAAATTATAAAAGTAAGAAAATACATCTCAAAATTAATGCAACCAAGAAAATGGCTAAAGAACAGGTGGTTAGATTCAAGTTTTTGAGTCAATTTACGTCGACGCAAAGACGACAAGCACTCTCAACGACCTTCACCGCTGCTTCAAGTTCTCTGTGGTACTTGGCTTTCTAATTTGGAAAAGGAAGATTCGACCTGTTTTTTTTAAACCCAAATAAAATAAAAATACTAGCAGATGATAAAAGAAACGAAATTGAAAGTAAAAATATTATAAAACCTTAATAGTGTGGATTTAGGTGAGAGTGGACCTTACTATGAAGAGTCTACTGCGGCGAGGTGCAGGGGAAGAGTAGCGAGGGAAGCATTGGACGACGGATGAGCCAGGATAAGAGCGCAGAAGATAAAGATCCATGGCGGGAATCATGAGGGTTGTTGAAGTGAAAAATTAACAACGGAGAAAAACTGGTAGAATTGGAAGGAATATGCCTTCAGAATGGCCCCTCTTCCGTTGCCGTTGGGGAGCTGTGCACAATGATCTCCACACGTGTGGAATACACCTGGGCTGACAGTTAGGTGAAAATGGGCTTTTAAATAGTCCAATGAAATTGGAGTCAGTCTCGCTTGGGCTTCCCGTAATCTATAAGCTTTGGATAATTTCTTCGGTAAACTACACATTTAGTAACTAAATTATTACTTTTATTCCGTTTTGAGACATAAACTTTAAGCTTTTTAAACCATACCTAACATTTTGTTTAAGTTTCATTTTGATACCTTACCTTTAAAAACTAAACGGTGATGTTGAGGTGTTTGTTCAAAGATAACTCTCAACCATTTGGTATTGAACGTTCACACTTTTGATATTCCTGATACTCGAACCTGAGACTTTAAAGAATAATGATAATTCTTTTATCATCGAGTTCACTTGGTTCATGCAAAATAAATCATCTTTAAATTACTTTTTCGGGTTACTATTATTTTATAAATTTTAATTTCTGTTATATTTTATTTTTCAAAATTAATTAAAAACAACAACCTTGCAATCAATGATGTCCCAAATTGTTTTATCACCAAAATATCATGGCTTCAGAGGGACAAGTAGCCAAAAAAATGAAATTCCATCTTATCCAAAACCCAAATTGTCTAATGGTAAGGAAACAAAATTGCCCTATGCTCACCACATTGTAATAAATATATGTACAATCATGTGATTCTCCATTTTGGCCTGTGGAACACCGTGATCAAATTTACAATAACAACCCCATCCCTTTAAATTTCTTCCAAAGGATTTTGATTCTTGCCTTCCTAGGTTAATGCATTCATGCCCATCGCCATTTCCTACGTTGCTTTCGGTTTACATTTGTCACGGAAAGCTTAAGCAAGTCTCATTACCAAATCGTGATAAAGCATGTGAAACTTGATTCTCCACTAGGAATAAATAAAGTTGTGGATGTCTACTCTCAACTGTTTTCTCCTTTTGCTGTACAATAACTAAGTTTTCATGACAAATTCTGGCCATTTGCCATTAGTCCTTAATCCACTAATTTCAGTGAATGCCAATACCATTAGCAAAGTTAATTGTCTTTATGCAACGAGAATCATACCAATGGCAAATTGTCTTCTTTATTAATTTTTTTTTAAAAATAATGTCTGATTAGAATAAGATTTATTCGTCTTATCTTAAAATTTATTCAAATGTCATGATTATATTATAACCTAAAAGAAAAACAGCAGATAACCCCTTGACCAAAATAGGACTAGGAAATTTTGTCTAAATCACTAATTAAATTCCATAATGTTGGAGTTGGATAAGCAGCATGGTGCTTATCTAAACATGCATGAACCTGCACGTTCTTTATGTTTTGAGTACGAAAATAAGGGAAGAATCTGCCAGGTGAGTTCCAGGAGTTGGATACATGCACAGATATTTATCTTGTATATCTCAACATTCGTCAAAAGGAGAAAATTGCATTCGCGCCAAATCATTTGTGCTGTAAAATTGTTAGCGTTAAACAGTAGACGGATCCTGTTTTTAAGAAATTGAAATTTCATTTATAGATATTTGATCCAAGAACTTTGTGAACCAATAGTGTATACACTATACACTAGTGTCAAGTGCTAAATTTCAAAACAAAGAAATACTATTTAAAGAAGGTAAATAATCAATCCATGGTTTGGTTGAGCCGAGTTACACATTCTTGGGACCAAGGCCTCCCTTGCTCATCTCCATGCCTCCATTGGGGTGGTCGTGATCTTCGACGAATCGAGACCAATACCAGTGAGATTTCCAGACTTGGTTCATCTCTTCTATTGGAATACCCTTTGTCTCCGGCAAGAAGTAGTACACAAAGATGGACATCAACACCACAAAGAAGGCAAAGAAAAGGAACAGCCCGAATTTCAGGTGGCAAAGCATGATTAAGAACACTTGAGCCACCGCGAATGTGAAGAGCATGTTGACCGACACATTGACACTCTGCGCAGCCGATCGGATTTCCAATGGAAAAATTTCACTAGGCACCAACCATCCCAAGGGTCCCCAAGACCACGCGAATCCGGCTACGTAAACGCAGATGAAAAGCACCACAACAATGGCATACCACTTAGGCAACTCACCAGGATTCCCACTAGTACCGAACTTAGCACCGATGGAAGCTGCCACAACAGCCTGAAAATGCATCAAAAAATTAGTACCGACACAATGTAGTTCATAATGGTTTAAATTTCAAGTGAAAAATCTCAAGTACCTGACAGATCAACATTTGAACTCCACCCTCAAGGAAAAGGAACCTCCTTCCCCACTTATCGACACCATAGATCGAAACTAATGTTGCAACAACGTTAACAATACCAGTGATCACTGCAGACATGAGGGAAGCATCGTCTCCGAAACCGATTGTATTGAATAACACGGGAGCATAAAACATAATGACATTAATGCCTGTTAGTTGTTGGAAGAAAGGAATCAAGACGGCCATGGTTAAATGAGGCCTGTATTTCCTCTGCAACAAGTTAGTCCAAGGATGATCCACAAGCTTCGATGCATCACTAGCAGCTACGAGGTCCTTAAACTCCTCCTCAACATCATCGATACCTCGAATTTTCTTGAGTTTGGTCTTGGCTTCCTCGGTTTGGCCACGTTCGATCATGGAGTTTGGTGTGTCCGGGAGGACGAGGGATCCAATTGTGATGATAAGGGCAGGGACCATTGCACCACCCAAGCTAAGGCGCCAGCCCCAGCCACCTTTGATCTTAGCGAAGAAATAATTCAACACATTGGCAACAAGGATACCAACTGTAATTGATAATTGAAAGCCAATGTTTAATGCTCCTCTATATTTGTAGGGTGCCATTTCTGAGAGGTAAAGTGGCACAGACTGTAAAAGTTACGAAAAGAAAGAATTAGTCCAAATTAAATTTATAAACCTGCCATTAGTTTAGAAAATTAAAAGTTTGGCATCGGAGTAATGCACAAATTGACATTCTTTGGGACCACATGGCTCTGTCAAGTTGTCAATGTTTAATTTCGCATGTTGGAGTAAGAAAAAGAAATCGCCTCCTTTCAACCTATGGAAGTCACGCTTGTAGAAAAAAGAACCATAGTAAAAGCATGATTTAATTTATTTTTCTTCTTATAATATGGAATTGATACGATAATAAGACATGGTTCGATTTTCAACGATTTGTAAACTTTTGTGGAAAAATGGTGCAGGAAGATGTCAGACAAGGAAAATAGCCACGTTTGACCGAGAGAGAAAAGAAAAATAAAACATAAAAAATAAGCAACAATAGAACATTAAATATTTATTTAAGACTCATTTATTGCTGACTCTCAGATCTTGAGAGACGAAACTTGAAGATTGGTTTAGTTTCAGGGTAGAAAAAAATATCAAAATATTAAATATGTAATAGAACCCCAGTATTGGTGTTTTTATGCAGTAAAGAGAAATAGAAATGCGCTTGTCTGGATCTGAAACAAGCTTTTCGAAGACATTGTCTGATCCTTTAATACACAGAACAATATCAAAGAAAACAAAGAACAGATCTGAAGAAAAAGGTTCATGTTTCAAAGAAGAGGAACACTAAGAGATCGACAAGTCACAAAAAAAAACTCTGCAAATATCCAAATAAAAAATGAACCCCAAGGCACACAAGGGAATAAAACATGAACTTTTGTCACTCTTCTCAAACAGCACATGTCGTTAGTATCTTCGAACAACTTGCAATGAAAACAAAAAAAACAAAAAACCTCAAACTTAGAGGAAGTAGTAAGAACCCAAAAATTAAGCATACGAAACTCTGATCGAAACAGGGAAGAAAACAATCCAAACGTGAAGTGAGATCTAGAGCTTTTTGACATCGTAGATAAAGGTTTATCACCTGATTAGCAAATCCGACACCGAAACCTAGCAACAATCTACCAACAATCAACATCCAAACAGCTTTGGCAAAGCCATTGATAAGAGCTCCGACAAAGAAGAGTAAACCACCGAAAAGCATGGACAATTTCCTTCCGAGTTTACGAGTGACGGTGGAGGCTACCACGGAAGCCAACAGAGCGGCCAAATACAGCGATGATGTGAACATCGTCAGGGTTTGGCTATCGTATTGACAATACTGATTCGTCGACTTATCAGCTTCCTTCTTCTCCCACACTTTTGGGAAGAACTTTTGCAGGAATGGCGCCATAGTCGTCACCCCACCTGTCAAATACCCCACAAAAGAGATTTAAAAAAAATACATTAATATCTACGTGAAACAAACGAAGAAAATATAGGTTTTTTTATCTTTAAAATATTACCAGAAATCCCAATATCATAACCGAAAATCAGACCCCCCATGGAAGCAACAATACATGTTACAGTGACGAATGGGGTAAGGTTTCCCGGGTACTCCTTCCCATTACCGGGGCCAATTCCTCCTGCAGCCGGCATTATCGGTCTTTTTTAATTCAATTGTAAAGAAAGAAAAGTGAACTCAAAACCAGGAAATGGGAGGGAAATATTAAGAATGAAAGAGGCGATTAGTAGACAGAAGGAATCCAAGGGATTTTAGAACTAAAGTTGTAAACCAACCGAAAGAAGATAGAGGTCTAAGAACAGCACGGGAGATCGTTATATAGAGAGAAAAACACAATATTTACACAGTTGGCGCTGGGCTGTCCATAAAATAATTATCTTAATTTTCAGTTAAAAATTATTAGATAATGTTTCATATTTGCAATGATTTTTATCTAAATGTAAGAGATTAAGGGTTGATTTGGTTCGCATAAAATATTATGAGTGAAATAATCTTTTTTATAATTGTATTATTACGTTTGGTTAGTAGAAAAAAATCATTATCAGATAATAATTTATTATCAATAGTAATATTTTTTAATTAAAATGGTGAATATCATTACCTCCAAATTCTTATATAGTGAACAATTCTCACCACTTTGAACAAAATACCCTTGAAATAATAAATTATTTTCATATGAATTATTCTTAATTTTTATTTTTGTGACTTATTTAAAATTATAAACTTAATAATAATAACATACAAAGAGTTTAATTTAGTAAAATATTAATAAATTTGATAGTTAAAATTATTTTATATTTTTAATAATTAGTATATTAAATGTATTTTTCTTTAAACTTAGATAGTGAATAAATTAAATATTTTTATAAATATTCATTCAAATATTTGTAATTTAATATTAAAGTTTAACTTGTTAAAAATATATAAATCACAATGATAATTTTATAAAATATACATCCAATTAATCGTATATTCCTTTAACCAAACATTATAATTTTACATTCCTTCTAAACAAACCAAACAAGGTAATACAACATTCCCAGAGTAATGTTACATTTCAATAATCTTATTGCCAAATGTAATCTTATATTCCATTAACCAAATGTGCCATAAGGGTTTAAAAAAAATTTATTAATTAAAATAGGGTGATTAAAAGTGATAGTATTTGTTCTAAAGACTCTCAACCATTTGGCAATGAACGCTCAAATATTATGCAGTCGTTGATGCTTGAACTCAAAATCTTTAGGGATAATATGCATTCCTAACCACTGAAGTAACTTTGTTCCTGCATATTTTTACTATAATATGATTTATGTAGATATCAATTAAGATTATAATAGTATATATTAAATAAGATTTTCATTCACTTTACTATTAAGACTTAAATATCTATTAGTAAAAAAATTGTATATGATATTCACACTTTATGTCTATAAACATAGAAGTTAAAGAAATATTATACATAACTTATATTAAAAAAATAATATATAATTTTCTTTTGGTTTTTTTTCCCTTTTTATTGTTTTGTTTTTTATTTTTATAATAATTTTTATTATTTTAACTAAAATGTTTTTTATAAAATTGAAACTAAACTTTTTAAACCTAATAAAATGACATTGATTTAATCTATTTATTTCAACAAATTTTGCATAACAAATTTTGAGTCATAATTTAAATTTATAAATTTATAAAAAAAAAACATTTTATTTCTCATGTTTTTATCATCGGAAATAGACCGGTTAACATATTTTTGTTATAAAAAAGAGTGTTTTGTTTCATTTTCCAGATAATTTTATTTATTTTTTAAATAAAATAAAATATTTAAGAAGTGAAACGTAACATAAATGGATTTCCTTTGCTTTTGACGAGGTGTTTTCTTTTGATGTATTTCTGACACGTGTCTAAAATATTAGTAATGCTTTTTATTTGTTTTCGCGGTAAAGATATTGAAAGGATTAAATTGATGTATTTTACATGTGATTTTATGTGAAAATTTATTTTGCTGTAAACAAGATTATTATATCTAACACGTCAAATAACAATTATTATTGTTGCCATATGGAAGTTTGGATAATATTGGATTTACAAGTCACGTCGGCTAAAAGTCATAAACCGGAGGAAACGTGAGTTTAAAGATCTTTACAGCAAAGCTATTTATATTCCATGTGAATACCTCAAATATACGGGCAAATCCTTCTTTTTTTGAAGCTACGGGTAATACGATGATATAGATGTTATTTATTGCATTTTTATATTATTAATTTTTTTATTTAATATAAATATAATCATAACAATTACTTTTAGAACATTGTCGGGAAAATTTTATTTTTATCCTATATATGATTGTTGTGATTAAGGGTATTACTAAACCAGTTGATTAATGTAAATACAAAATAGATCCAGAATTAAATCAATGGCACGTTTCATTATCAATTCAGTTAATATAGATGAATAGATTTTATTTTTTGATCTTGATATTAAATGAATATTAAATATGGTAAATATAGTAATAACTTCATAAAACCATGGGGATAAGATGAGAAACAAAATACAAACCCCGATAATAGAAAAACTTCCTGAACTGGTCTGCTTTTTTAATATTATTATTACAGCAGTGGCATATACAAGTAATATAACAAAACATCCCTCCTTTGAAGTTTTGCTTTGATTTTTGGATTACAAAATTCAAAGTTTGGATGGTTGATTAGAGTGGTCCAAAAATGTTGACATCAAAGTCTATTACATTAACATTATGGTACAATGTAAGATGTGTTGTATTTGCTCCGGGTTCACCTAATTTCGATTCTAGGCCACGATGACTCCACAGTCAAAGCCATGGAAGCCATCTTGGTTGAAGTCGTTTTAGTAGTGAAATTGGTATAAAAGTTTATGAAAGATAACACAATTTCAAAAGAGTTTCCAAGTTTTTACCTTCAAAAACATGTTTTGAGAGGGGTTTTTTAAAATTAATCACTGGTATCTAATTTATTGACCGGCTAATCCAGATCGGGTACAGCAGAGACGAGGGAGACCCTCCCGACTCAATTTGCTCCATTAGCAAACACTAGGATTCGAATGTCTGACCCTGCTTAAGGAACCTAGTGTCTCATCCCACTAGACCAATTAATGGTTGATAGAGGTATTTTAACATCACTAAAATTGTACTTCACTTTATCAAAAAGTAAGCATATGCTCAACTACTTATCCATCCTTTATTCTCTTTAGCACTCAATGAAAAAGAGAAAGGAAAAAAAATCGAACAAACAAGATAAAAAGGAAAAAGAATAAAACAACAAAGTGGGACTATAACGGGTATGATTGAGTTTTGTCATAATTCACAGATAATTTAAAATTTAGTTAGATTTTTCCTTAATTTTTTGTATTATTTATAATAATCTCAACATTCATTTTACTAACATAAACTTTATTAAGAAAATATAATATTATTAGATATATTTTACATTTAAGTAATTTATTTTTAAAATTATACGATACAACTCAAATTGACACAATAATCAGATATAAAATGTTTTGTCAAAGACTCGAAGTTTTAATATTATTTTGTTATTTAATTATTAGATCAATCATATGATTACACGTGTCACACTCAAATTTTACATAAGTGACAAAATGAATACATAATATAAATTTAGTTTAGTGGTTATTTTGTTAGATTTTGAATTCGTATAATTAAATGAGAAAAAAAGTATTTACGATTGGATGACCCCAGTGTGTAGATTTTCCAATAGTTTACTTACCTTTTATAAAGGTGAAGAATAGAAGTATCAGTTTGGAAACATCCTAGAAGCACCGGTTATGGAAGAAAGGGGGGGGGGGCAATAAAAGATAAACATTATTCCAAATTTATTTTTTAATTATAGTTATATAATTATATTTATTATTTAATATATTTTACCTTAAATATTATGTTATAGTTAATTAATTTGAATCATTTTGTTTCACTTGATTTTATGATTTTTAACTTATTTATGTTATAATTTGCTTTGAATATGACTTGTGATATAAAAAATTATTTTTATTAAATATTTTTGATATTTTTATTTAATTTTTTAAATAATTATGACGTCATCCGGTTCTTCCGACCGATCGGACCGATCGGACCGATTCGACCGGTTGAACCAGTGAACCGCTAGCATGACCGGTTCGTTAACCGGTCCGGTTCTGAAAACCATGGTATTCTCTTATTAAATTCACTGTTAAGAATCCGGAATGAAGTCATGAACTAATTGTGCGATTGGTTCACAGAATGTAAGATTACCGGTGGTAATAAAAGATTACCAGAGAATAGGATTGCTGAGAATGTTGTATTTTGTGTTTAGTTGGTTTAGCAAGAATGTAAGATTTCCGTGTTTGGTTAAAAGAATAAAATATTATTAGAATGTATATTTGACCAAATTGTCCCTATTATATATTTGTTTTTTTAACAAGTTGAAAAATATTTATATATTTTCTTTAAACAAATTAAATTCATAAAATTTATATAATTTTTTTTACAAAATTGAAATTATAAAAAGATTTAATGAAAGGGTAAAATTTTATTTTAACCCTTGAACTTCATATAAAATTTTAATTATAGACATTTTTTTGTAAATCTAAAATAGTTTAAGGATAAATTTGTAATTTAACCTTCATAGAATTTTTATTATTCAATGAAAGAATAAGGATATTTTTGAAAGAAAAAAAAATTAAGGGCATTTTAGTCCAAAACGCCGGTAATCCAACAATACCTAAGGAAAGGGAGGTAATGACATTTTCGGCGTTTTGGACTAAAATGCCCTTAAATTTTTTTTCTTTAAAAAATATCTTTATTCTTTCATTGAATAATAAAAATTATACGAAGGTTAAATTATAAATTTATCCTTAAACTACTTTAGATTTACAAAAAAAGTCTATAATTAAAATTTTATATGAAGTTCAGGAGTTAAAATAAAATTTTACCCTTTCATTAAATATTTTTATATTTTCAATTTTGTAAAAAAAATTATATAAATTTTATGAATTTAATTTTTTTAAAGAAAATATATAAATATTTTCTAACTTGTAAAAAAAATAAATATATAATAAAGAATATTTGGTCAAATATACATTTCAATAATCTTTTATTCCTTTAACCAAACACGGTAATCTTACATTCCCGCTAAACCAACCAAACACAAAATACAACATTCTCAGTAATCCTATTCCCTGATAATACATTATTCCCACTGATAATCATACAATCCGTGAACCAAACGCACCGTTAGATTAGCCGCATAAAAAAGAAGGTTATTTTAATAACAGAAATTGAAAAGGCAAAGCATAATAAGCAAATAAATAATCTGTAGTTTTAGTGAAGTCTTAAACGCATTCAATTCCAAAGGGCCTAAATAGGCAATGGGCGGTTGATGCAATATCTTTGGGATTTTGAGATAGAGATGGAGTACAGTGCGGTCGTCAAAATCTTCTTCTTTATCCATTTCTTATAGTCGAGTAGTTTAATTTATTATTAAAGTGAAGTAAACTACATTAATAGTCACTGAATTTTTGAATTCTGCCATTTTTATTATCAAACTTTTAAAACATTCATTGCAATCACCAAAATTTTAATTCGCTTTTATTACGGTCATGGTTGTTAAGAAATATTGTTGTGACACGTTAAAGTCTTATTCTTCCTAAAAACACTAATCTTCCAAACTAACAATTGATCCCAATGTCAAATTTTTGATAAATGAAGCGGTTATCAATTAATCTCAATAGTGGGAAGACTTCATCGATTGATTTTCTAAATGAACAAGTGCCAATGCCAAAGTTAATTTGATAGTTAATAATGATGAATCATAAAGCATTAAATTTTAGGGTCTATTTATTTCATTGAAAATAGATTTTGGAAAACAAATTTTGAAATATGAATTACATTTCTGAAAAATATTTTTTGCTTTTTGGATGTTGTAATATATGTTTGGTTAATTTTTTTGAAAACAATTTTCAGAACCTGTTTTTGGTTAATAAAAATACATATTTCATTAATTTTCTTGATTTATATTAAATTAATTTTATTATTGTAAAATTATATTTTACAATTTTTCAAATATAAAGTACAATATTTCTTTTAACCAATTAACGTATGTTCATTAATAACAATAATTTTTTTCATAAATAATACACATATTCGATAATTTTCTTCATTTATTTTAATTTTGTAATTTTTTCCCTTGTAGAGACAATTCAAATATAAGGGTTGGGTCATAACATGAGAATTTAGATTGGTGAACTATTAAATTTTAAGCATACAACAAGTGAAACACTAAAGAACAGTCGACTCTAAATGATCCTATGTTGTTCTACTCTAATTTTTCCAGCTAATTTCCAGCATATAATTATGATCCAAACACTTTGAAACATTATTAATCACATTGCCTCATGTCATGCCTAAGTATTAATTAAAATATTAGGTATGATTTTGAAAAGAAAATAAAGTTAAGATACTAAAATAAAACAAAAATAATAGTTTAGGTACTAAACGTAAAATTTATCCTTTTAATATTTACTTAACAAAAAATAATTTAGTTAGTAGTCTATTTCAATGTATCACAATTATTATGTATTTCGATACAGGACATTCACCGTAAAATTTTTGAAATCTTAAATGCTTAAAAGAAATTATATTCGCGGCTACTTCTTTTTCTTCTTCGTTACAGCATTTCCATTGGGGGAATTGTTTTCAAAAAGTAAAAATTTGGTACACACCGATATAATTAACCAACCACCTCAATCATCATCTCTTTCTATATTACCTTCAGATAAGAATAACAATACTATTACTAATTATTTGGCCACCGACGGGATATACAAGGAGATCTTCAAATTCAGAGCATAAATTTAATACTTCTCCGGCAATATTGCTAAAAGGGGTCGACGGAAGCCAGCGCGGCCAACTGGGAAGTCCAAGTCTTACCACTCTTCAATTTGGATTTGATTTTGGTTATTTTTGTTGAGTCCTGTTTTGCTTCTACTGAGGCTTATCTACAACAATGATTCGTCATTTGAACATAACAAGATTTCCAACTTCTTTCATGGTAAATAGAAATGAAACCAAGTGATATATGAAGACGAAAGGAATATCATATAAATAATATAGCGATTATTTGTCTCTAGGTTCACATGATCTTTCACATATCAATTTGCTCTATTAAAGATATAATAGTATAATTTCAACGCTTTGCGGTGTTCTTAGTTTTTCTTGCTTCAAATTCTATGAATTGACGTTGATTCTTCTTCAAATCTAACCAATATCAATAACCATGTTGGCCTATTTGATCATCGCTTTTAGTACCTGTCTAGATTGAGGCTATTTGAAATTGGGATTTGTTTTCTCATTTAAAAAAACAGATATTAATTAAACAACACCCACAATTTTTTTTAATTGATCACTGGTATCCGATCTATTAACCAAATAATCCAGATCAAGTACTGCAGAGGCGAGGGCGACCCTCGCAACACAGTTTGCTCCATTCACAAACGCCAAGATTCGAACTCCTAACCTTACTTAAAGAATTCCTAGTTTCTTATCTCACTAGACCAACTTGTTGCCACAATTTGACTTCCTATTGAAAGAAAAATTTAGTATTGTATTACTACACGGTAACGTTCAAATTATGTGAACTGCAAATACACAATTCATCTTAAATCCTAAATAATAATAATTTCAGTACATAGTACTTACAACCTGGGGGGAGTCAAGTGAGAAGCACTTGAACAATAGCCAACGGAAGCTTGCAATTTGCAGACCCTACGATGATAATAGTGCAGGACTTGACCCTAAAAAACGGACCATTCGGAAGAAAACAATACTCGACAAGGAAATAAACATCATAACCCTCCGTCACAATACATAAATCTTGGAATTTATGAAGTGGACCAACACTCCAAACCTAATAGAAACAGCGTAGGTAGACCCTGGTCAAGGATTAAAAACGGAATAGAATCTTCATTTTGACTCTACGTTTACATTGACGGTCAATATTGTCGGTGAAGTTAAGTTTTGCTCCCTAAACGATCAAGTAGTTGCTTTCCTTTTTATCTGTAATTCCTTGTCTACCCAATCAACAAGTTGTAAAGATTCTATCTAGTTGTTAGCAAGTGACTTATGAAGGATCAATTATTTTTTATCAGACACAGATTGCGGATTCAAAACAACTCAGCTTTCGCCGTTCTGAAACTTTTTGATTCCACATGGAGAAGACAAATGAATGAAGAAAGGAGATAGAGAGAGTTAACAATATGATCATTAAGCAAAATTTTAGTTGATGAAAATGACAGGCATGAGTCAACAAGTATATGACGCAACTACGGGCCCTGCCCCCAACTATCGACCCAGTGAGGGAAAGTTTTTGAATTTTGAATCCAATGCCAGAATTTGAACAGAAGAGTCCGATTGTTTTATTGGTTCTTCGAAAGAGAACTAAAACTGATTGTGGTCCTTCACCAACATTTCTTTATAATTTTTTTTGCAGTCACCTTAAGTATTTTATTCACCAAAATTACCAAGTGGTCCCTTCTTTTTCCCCTTTTCTTTTAGTCCTATTTTCTTGATTGGTCCCTATTTTTTCCTTTTCTTCTATTTTAGTCATTTGCTTCTACCTTTCACTGCCTAATCGACATACAAAGATGTAGCCCCCTTATTGATATCAGTAATGCATATATTCACATCTACAGCCTACTTCATATCTAAAGACCAGTAGGTAATGCCGATAGTTAAAACAGCTCAATCATCTTGAAAGCAACATATGATCGGCAGCCACTTTTAAGCTCTAGATTTCAACAAAGATTAATCAGCTTTATAATCATGGAAACTGGTGACGGAATAGAAGAAAAAAAAATGTCACCACCATAGTTTTGTAAGTTGGGGGCCAACGAGAGAAAATTTGGTGACAACACGGTAATGAGAGCAACATACATCATAGTGCGCAACTCATATGGTGGTGCATAGCAATCATGACATACACTTTCACAGTTGTTGTTTGGACCGCAAATTAAAAACCAAGTTCTAAGTATGATATTTCGCTAAGAATAACTCAATACTTGCTAAGAACAAGCAAGTAAGATTTTCTAGATTGGGCTCATCTGAGAAATGTGTTATTGGGTAGGATCCAATACTTTCGGGCCAACCGTTTTAACTTGTGTTTTGATGTTTTGTTTCTATGAACGGTTCTTGAAACTCGATCCCCCAAAATGGACCAATTAGGCTTCTCAAACTTCTGCATTGGATGCAATGGCAAGTGAAGTCGGGTCTTGTCCAGTGCTAAAAACTGCGTTGGCTAGTAAAATGAGAAAGACAAGGGTGGGGAAATTTTGCAAGTAATAATTAAAAGCAGCAAGCAACTTGTGATGCACCGCACCAGAAAAGAAAGTCTGATGCCCTTCTTTTCGTTCACCTAAATGCTAATAAATACTTATCTGCTCCAGAACCGCGTGATATTTACTGTTCTACAGCTACATGTAATTAATCAACCTTTGTTTTCTCTTGGCTCTTGACTTGCCAACGAATCTGGTTTCCTTCAAAATGAAATCAGTCAAATGTCAAGACGAGCAATGTCTTTTGGCATTGGATTCTGGTGGACATGATTGCTCATTGATTCAGTTTCTCAAAGCAAATGAAACCATCTTTCAGAACCATAAAAAGAAACAATTCATCTGGCAACAGCAGTGTAAGTGGGTTCATATGCGTCTCAAACTTGTAGTTTTGGTTCATGGTCCACACTCCACTGGCCTAGCCAGCCAAGTCGGCTAATTCATTACCATTAATTTTGTGTACTCTACAAAAGGTTACGTCCCCAACATTATGCATCAAAACCTTTTTCAGTCCAGCTGATAATCGACCTAAGCAAATTGAGTCAAACCAACTGTTTCTCAATTATCATGCATTATGTCAGAGCATTAAATTCTTTTTTTATGAACTAAAAGAAAATAACTATTATAAGAGAAAGACAATGCTGGAAAAAAGACAAGCAAATGGAGAACTTTCATCTATCACTATCCCGTGTCCCATAATGGTAGCTGACAAAAGCTTGATTGCCATTGTTCACATGCCATTTCTGTGTTTTCATCCCTTTCCCATGTGCAAGCATGGCATATGCTTCCAAAACACTCCATGTTATTTATAAATATTAACCATTATTTACGACAGCATATATTAACTAATGTAACTGAAATTGCATCGTTAATTTTATATTTGAACTGAGAATCCCAAACAATAATGCCACGGTATCTTTTAAAGAATTGTACAACCAAGTTAATGAGACTTGCAAAGCACTTATGCAGATATACAGTAAGCAAAACAAAAAAGAATTACATATAAGAATGCCAGAATATACTTAGAATATTACGAATTCTGTTGGCAGATAACTTCCTGACAAGTCTTTTGGCATCAGTAACTTCAGCTTCAGCAAGTTTTTCTATGTTCTTTAGATATCCCGAACTGGCAATTTTTCTTCTTCCACTATTGCAACTTGTCAATGACATTAGTATAGAGAGTAAGAGCTTTCTGTTACTTGATATGCCTGCCTCTTGATCAAGCAATTGAAGGAGATAACCTATGTTCCGATCGTCTTAAACAAATCGTTTTCGATTTTTCGGAACTGAGACCAAGTTAGAGAGTGCCTTGGTTGCCATTTCTCTCACGTCATATGACTTTGCATCGAGCAATTTGACAAGCTCAGGCATGAAACCAGCATTCCCCATTGCCTTTTTAGCCTCTTCTGATGTTTCACAAAGCCTAGACGTTACCTTTAGTGCCGATTCTTGAACCAAAACCTCACCATTGCGTAGGAAGAAGAATAATTGATCCATAAACCCATAATTCATCAACATATTTATGCAATTCTGTGAAGAGAAACATAGCTTCTCAATTACCCTCAATGCTACTTCTCTTGTCTTCGAAGATGTCGATGATCTCGGATCCAAAACGCATACCAATGCACGAATTCCTCCTTCTCTAACCACCATTTGACGAACCGACTCATCCCCAAAAGCTATATTTTGAAGGAACTCAATTGAATTTATCTGCACGATTTCTTCTCTCGAACTCGCAAGCTTGATAAAAGTCGCAATGGCACCTTTTTCAACAATGAACCTCTTAATCTCTTCAACACCCACAAGATTCCTCAGCAACCCACAAGAAAGGTCAAGTAATTCCCCTCTAAGCTCACCGCTTGAACATATCTTCAAAAGGGCAGTCACCCCACCATGAGCTGAAACCGACCATGCATTGTCTAAATTTGCAGTCAATCTCTGAAGACACCTAGCAGCTCCTTCTTTACCCAAATCACTGCCATTTTCCAGAACTCGAACCAAAGGCCCGATAACCCCAGAACCAACCAAAACCCCCTTACACATATCAAACCCAGATATTAAGGACACGATCTTCGAAGCCTCCTCTTGAATCTCCATCTCTGGTGAATCGAGAAAGATTACTATCACATTCACAAGGTCACAAACTTCCACTACAAGTTTAACATACCGCTCATCTTCATCCACAACTTGGTATAAATTAACCAAGGCTTGCCTTTTCATTTCTATATCGCCTATCTTCATTCTTGTCAACAGATCTCCAATGTAAAACCTCATGTCATCTTTGCAAGCTCCAAGACCAGGCCTTGAAACCACAATCTCAAAACCCTGACTCAGAATCCCGGCAGTGTAAATCCTGGAAAGATTCTTTAAATGGCTGTCGAATTTTGCAATCATCACATCTAGGTCACTTTGCATCAAGAGCTTTCCGCTGTAGGAAAGATCCACACAGCTTCTTGCCAGATTATGACACTCATTTACAGTGGCCAAAACGGAGGGAACCAAGCCAGAAAAGACTGATGTATGTTGGTTTGAATCACAGTTTTCGACTGCCATTAAGCCGGAGCTTAACTCTTCTAGCTTCTTCCGAATACGTTGCCATTTAACAGTGAAAACTTTGATAGAATGAGAAAGAGAAATCGAAGAAGATATAACCTCAATGGCCTGCCTGAGACTGGATTTCGTTGTCGTGAAAGATTCTGTTGAGTTCTGGTTTTGCTCTTCTTCCCCCATTTTGCCGCCTTCTTTAACAAAAATTTTGAAGCAAGCTTACTTCATTTTCTTTTTCAAAAAGGATTTCCCTTTGAAGAAAGCAATCTGAGAAGAAGAGGTGATCTTATCAGAAGACTAGAGAGAGACAGGGAGGAGGCAGTGACACCATATCTGTAGTTATCTTTATGTTTACAACTGAAGACAAAATTTGGGACTTTATTTTATTGTACATTTACAGGGCTGACATTTTGGAACATTACATAACAGGGACAAGTCAGTAAGACGAAGTACATTCCGGTCACAGTGACCATGGTTAAAACGACGGCTGAAGGTCAGACTGCTGGAAGTTTGAATCGAATTCAAAGAACTGAGGAGTGACAACAGATGGAAGATGCATGGTTAAAGGGACAGGTGTGTGTGTGTGTGAGATGAAGGACAAGGAGCTTGAAAGCTTTTATTTGTTCTGGTTTACTTTGGCTGGGTTATTTTTTATCTGTTTGAGAATAAACATCTAGCAAATTATAGGAGCAGGCATGATCACAATGGACAGTAACTACTAGGTAGAAAGAGGGAATTTATTCTCCAAGCAGAGCCATCTCTCTTGGGAATATAAAAAATCTACCTGGAAATGACATTAGCTGGTAACTGAAATCACGTTCCAGAGCAGCAAATAATCAGATGGTGCGGTAATTAGTACTCAATTTCACCTTTTAAGGTAACTTGATCTAAAAAAAAATTCTTTGCCTTCTCTCTTGCTGTGGGCTGAAGGTGCTTATTATTTGATCAAGCATAATAAAGACCAGTACAGTGTGTGGAGTGGAGCCTGCAAAGCAAAATTGGTTCGATTTCAACTTTCAAGTAGCTGAGGCATATGGACTGTGACCAGTCAATTAACATCAAAACATCTGCTTAAACCCAGAAATCATGGCAACTAAACCATTCCAACTCTCACCAATTTATCGCTTTCTCAATCCTGGTAAGCAGAACATGAGTTGCTGACTAGAATCTTTAATGTCTTTCTTCCGCTTGTCCCAATGCGATCCAATAATTAACATGCTTTCCGAAATAGCAGATCTTCCATTAGCCACTATTGATATCTTGACCAATATATTAAAATTGACGTAATGTTGATGGAATTGGCAATAGAGTTTTTGTAACTTCCAGGGCAAGAAAACGATAAGATAATCAAGGGGATTCATGCATGGGACCTGTAAATAGGGACGACTCTATAAATGGATTGTAAAAAATTTTGGTATAATAATATTTTAGATCTTATTTAGTTTAAATATGAATCAAATAATTTTTTTATCCCTTATAATTTTTGCATTTAAATACTTAATAATTTTTTATTTATTTTTATATAAAACAATTTAACTCTCTATCTCCCTCCCTGTCTGCAAAGATAGATCCCTATAGAAAATATGTGTATCATGGTTGCTTTAATTGTGAAAGATATAGCTCACCAGAAAGTCGCTTAAATTAAGCTTCGTCTTTGTTTTATTGGATTGAAGCTGAAGATTGTTTGCGATGAGAGGCAAGAAAAAAACAAAAGCCGAAAGGGTTTCGTTTCACCAAACCTAGAATTCAAGTAATAATGCGATCAGGTTGAAGTGTTAATCGAAGTATCATTTTATATTTTTAACCTTTTTAAATAACTCAAAACTTCAAATAAGTTTCCTTTTGGATTAGTTATATAATTTACTTATATTTTTTTTAAATTGAATAACTTATTTATAATCTTATTATTAATTGAAAATTTCATTGTAATTTTATTAATAAGTGTATGACTTTAGATATAATTTAACTAAAAATATTAAATAATGTTTCCTATGATCATCTTTTAATATTTATTATAATTTTAATGATTGAGTAATTTGCTTATATTAATTAATTAATTATTTTGTTTATACTTTTTTTTAAAAAATTAAATAAATTATTTGAAATTTTACTAATAATGGAATGATATCAAACTTTACCTTAAACAATAAGATCATTCGTGACTTCGATGGTAAAGAAATTGATATTTCTTAAAGTTACGAGTTCTACCGACAAAATCCAAACCTTAGTTCAACCCAAAAAACTCCTTTACAGCAAAATCGCCGGCGAAAATGTTGAGGCTGGTGTCGAAAAGGATGCTGGAGGCAGTGTCACGGGATGTCCCATCGCGTCCCTTTCAGATTCTGCCACGTCTGTATCACGAGAATGTCATCGATCACTACAACAATCCTCGTAACGTGGGCTCCTTCGATAAGAACGATCCCAACGTTGGTACAGGCTTGGTCGGGGCTCCGGCTTGTGGCGATGTTATGAAGCTGCAAATCAAAATCGACGAGCAGTCGGGGAAAATAGTCGATGCATGCTTTAAAACCTTCGGTTGTGGGTCGGCTATTGCGTCTTCTTCTGTCGGTACGCCACTTTTTTCTTTCTTTTAATGCTTGTGCCTATTGAGATGAAGAACGGATAGGTTTTCCTTTTGAAACTTAAAATTTGTTTCCCATCCAAAACAAAAGAAAGAGTCCATTTATAAAAAGCAAATACTTAAGTAAAATCGTCTGTTCATATAGAAAATGCACGATTTTACTTTAATATGGAATAAATACGTTAAATTATTCTTGATTTGTTTTATGAAGGTGATTTTAGAAAGCAGAAAAAGCAATTATCAAAAATCAACTGAACAAATATGTATTTGTTTTGCCTGCAACACTGAGACTTCTAATCTGTTTTATTAATGTTATTCCATATGTTGTACTTATGAGTTACTTTGAATGGCCTTCAAATTTATGAAGATGTGTGGTAACTTGGGGCTTTTTCCTATTGCAGCTACTGAATGGGTGAAAGGGAAAAGTATGGACGAAGTACTTACCATTAAAAACACGTTAGTATTCTTTCCTTACCAGGAACTTCAATTCTAATTTATCCCTCTTCACTATCTGATCTTCGAAACTTTTTTAGTGGAATTTGTTGATTACTAATTAATTTGTTCACACATTCTGTGTTTTTCCTTATTTAATTTAAACATTGTACTCAAAATATACAATGCTATGGATGGATCGTCTTCTTTTACCCATTCTTTAAACTTCCTTTCTTACAATTTTTTGGCCGCTCTGGGAAGGCATTAATTACTTGCAGCTATAGTATGATTTTATTTTTATTATTATTATTATTTTGCTTGTTAACTGTCTGTAATTCTATTGGTATTCTTTATTCTCTCTGTGTATACACAATGATACTAAGGCTAAGCGGTGGCAATCAATTTTAGAAGTTAGATAGTTTACGCATAAAGGTTAAAGACTTGTCTAACATTTTTCTATTGAGCTTGTCTTATTGATCTTCGTATTATGATTTTAACTGTCAACAGGATCAATAAAATACATACAGTTAGTTATAAGAAGAAATATTTGATGTTATTGTGATTCTTTTTTACCACAACATCCAAATTTTATTTGAAGGTGGTTACATAGAGTATACTTAAAATGAATTAGGTTGAAGGATTACATATGTTAGAATAAATGAGACAAGGAAATATAAGATTGATGTCAATGGATGCTGTTAATCTTTTTAGTGGCCGGGCATGCAGGGAGATAAGTCTTTCTTCATCTTTATGGTACCAATGGGTCAATTCATTTGTTTATTTTTTAATAGCTTTTTTCCCAATCAAATACACTCATGCTGGACTGCATATTTCTCGCTATGTTCTACGTAAAACTGCAGGGAGATTGCAAAACATTTGTCACTTCCACCAGTTAAGCTGCACTGCAGCATGCTTGCAGAAGATGCAATCAAGGCAGCTGTAAAAGATGCAGAAGCTAAACGTGCCAAAATGAATGGTAGTTCGAAGGCTTCACCTATGGAGAAGGCTGCTGATGTAAAGTAAGATAAATAGAGACAAAAAGGACCCAGGGAAAAAAGGACACTACTGGTCCAAAAGGGATGTTTGGTCAATGGTAAAATTATATAACTGCAGAATAATCTATATTCGATCATTTATAGCAATATTAGCTCACTGTTGAAGTTCTTGTACGCTTTGCTCGCACCTCCTTTGATGTTATATGTTTTACCATTATTTCTCTTTGTGCGTGTGGAGTTGGTTGTCATTATGTAGTGCCGGGAACATGGTTTTTTGCATCTTATAGTTGGATCCAGGTTGAAGGTTACATTATGATGTCGGGAATGGAAAATTGTGTAATAGTAATATCACTTTCAATCAATGAACATTCTTATGCTGCATGCCTGCATGAATTATGTTTACAAGTCACCATCTTCTATTTCATGTAAAAATCAGATTGTGTACAACAAGAATATGGTAAAGTTATCATTAAAAAGGAAGCCTTTTTGTTGGCTTTTAGACTTGTATTAGCTATGGAGATATTAATTAGATTCCTTTAACAATGCCAAAATCCATTAAAAATTATGCAAAAAGAATCTATTGGTAACGGTGATTATCACTTTCTAAATGCAACTGATTTGTTCAACATATAACAATTAACATGCAATTTGTTTATCTTTAGCTAATAACCTGATTTAGATTTTAAAATCAATTTAGTTCTGATTACTAAAATAAAGGCTGACTTAATTCATTGACATCAACTGGCTTTCCTTAAATTTTTAAAATTTTCAATGGATTTCCCACACTGCAAGAGAGGATGAAGATGTGGAAATGCGTTTTCCATTCTCAAGTCAGTTCCTATATTTATGGTCTCATAAAGCACAAGCACATAGATTTATCATTCACTGCAAAGTGCGTTTTCTATGTTATTAAATCTCAAAGGAATACACCTAAGGAATCTGCATCCTTGATTCAGCTTCAAGATTCCACCATCTGTTACAAAATCTACTTGAGAACTAAAACCCACCAAGCAAAAAAACAGAAACAAAGTTGATCTTAGATTATAATTGATCTTTCCGAGAAGATGGTATTAGATCATAATTGAGTTTTAGGGCTTCAAGATCCTACCATAATCTAGTAAAGAAAACAAAACAAGAATCACTTTAATAGTAGAGAAGTTTGTGCACGAGGAAATATCTAAATTTATGATATTATTGGAAACATGTCCTTTCCAATCTCAACTTTATCACATCAGAAGGGTTAAAGGTAGCCCTCCAAAACAAATAAAACCCGAATCTGGATTCTCTCTCCCTTTCTTTCTCTCATGTACATAAAGATACAAACAACCTATATCTTCAACGAAACATTTGAAGAAATTGCTTGTCAAGAATCTTACACATGGACAAAGACCCGACGACCAGATCCACTAATCAACCCCTTTTTAATCTACAACAACTACTGCTGGCTGCTTCCACAAGCTATATCTACAATCTCTTCCGTGTCAAGCAGATAGTGCCATTATCAGCAAGTTTCTTCCTGTTGATGGACGTATGAGACTTCCGTTGCCTTGGTGCATTTGGAGCTTCAATGTCGTCCGATTCACTTGATTCCTCGAAATCTATGGATGTTCGAAAAGCTTTCACCTTTCTTGGTGTGCTATAAGCAAAATGAGACTGCTTTGCAATGACAGTCTGAGGAAGAAAAAAGGGGAACAATCAGAGTCAAAATCGGACTAAATAGTGTTAATCAACAAATGAAACAATTTACAATCCAAATTAAACTGCTTTCCGATACTCACAGCTTCTCTGATTGATTTAGAAACATAAAAAAGTTGCTTCAAATCTTCATGGTCGACACCGCAAATAATCCTAATCTGCAAAAGGAAAGACAAATATTTCTCATCAATAAGAAGTCGGAATCCAAAATTAGAAACTAATGACAAAAAAGCGAAGCTTTTTTTGGGGGGGGGGGGCGCGGCGGTGGTGTAGTACTTACAACTTACAAGAACATCTTGAGGAAGTGATTCGAGAGCAGATTTTTCATGGCAATAATCAGCTGACAGCTTCGTCACAATCCTCTCGCTGCATTGCCTTTTCAGGAATGGAACTTTGGTTGCAGGCGTGATTTCCTCCATCTCATTTGAAATCCCAACCCTTTTCCTCCCTAATCCAAGCGTACATCTAACGAATCCTAACCGTGACTCTTCTTCCTCAATTACTCCGCGTTTCAAGTTCAGTGAATACGAACGGTATACTCTGCCCAAACCCATTTGTCCAGAAAAAGTCTAAAATCTATCAAATTCAAACCCACTGAAACAGAGACTTCCAAGGCTAGATTTTTGTTTTAGCTTGTCTCTGCTGCCAAGTCGCTCTTAAAATGTAAACTTCCGATGAAAGGGCATTTTATATTTTAAAATGAGAGAATATTTAGGCGATTTTAGCTTTTTTTTCAAATCCAGAAACTACTCGATAATTACAATTCTTTTTAAAATGATAAATTTGTTTCTTTCTTAATTTTTTCGCCCTCTCGTGCGTGTCGGGAGATGGAATGAAATATAATATTGCTGCCTTTGGCGGTTAATCTAAGAACTAGCCGTTGGGAAGAGACACGTGTTAACAAATCAGCTAAGGGTTGAGGCAAACTGAGTGCTGCAATAGGTGAGGTGGAGAGATATGGTTGGTCCAAACATGCTATGTCTCTCTTTGACACTTTTGCTGTTCGTTCGCCTGTGAGTGGAGATACGGACATTGAGTGGGTCCCGGTGCCGATTATACACGTGTGAGGTGGATATGAGTTTGGTAAGATTGAGTGCACGGCAACAGCAGCCATTCTTATGTTTGACCTTTGATATTATAATTGGGGGGGGCTGACGGCTTTTATATATTTTTTCTAACGTGGTAAGACTGCATTCATTCGACGGTCAACACACGTCAATACTCAATTTTTCAAATAATAATTTCATTTTAAAAACATGTTAATTAAGGTTGGTTGTGGTGATTCAAATCATCTTTATTTTAAATAATATTCAATATTATATAAACAATAGTTTATATAAATTATATATAAATTATCAATCGTGTCTATACATATATAGTTTATATAAATTATATATCAACTATTGTTTATAGACTGTATGTAGGGATGGCAGTATGACCCGAACCCGAAGGAAAAATTCGAAACCCGATCAAGTTTGGGTCGGGTCAGTTTGAATGATATCGGGTCGGGTATCGGAAATTTTTTTCGGGTCGGGTTCGGGGCAAGGTATCCCCGCCCTGCCCCGATTATATATATATATATATAATATTTTATATTTTTTATATTAATTATATATAAAATATTTTCTAGTTTGGGTATAATATTTCGGGTCGGGTTCGGGGCAAGGTATCCCCGCCCCGCCCCGATTATATATATATATAAATAATATTTTATATTTTTTATATTAATTATATATAAAATATTTTCTGGTTTGGATATAATATTTCAAGTCGGGTTCGAGGACGGGGCAAAAAAAATCCCCGACGGGACGCCCCGATAAAAAACCCGTCGAGGATTGGGTCGGGGTCTGACGGGGATTCATTTCGGGTTCAGAAACGGGGCGAACAAAACCCGCCCCGAACCCGACCCGTTGCCATTCCTGACTATATGTTATATATATAGTTTATATAAATTATATATAAACTATTCTTTATAAACTATAGGTTACGTATATATAGTATATAAACTATATAGTTTATATAAACTATATATAGTTTATACATACATATGTTATATTAATATAAATTATATTTTATAAACTATATACTTTATATAGTTTTTTTTATATAGTTTATATAAACTATATAGATTACATATATAGTTTATACATATGTAGCTTATATATATAGTTTATATCTATATAGTTGATTTATTTAATCTATATACATAGTTTATACATATGTAGTTTATATAAATTATATAGTTTATATATATAGTTCATACATATATAGTTTATATTTACATGTATAGTTTATATATATATATAGTTTATTGGTTTATAATAACTACATAGATTACATATATAATATATACATATATAGTTTATATATATAGTTCATACATATATAGTTTATATTTACATGTATAGTTTATATATATATATAGTTTATGCATAGTATTTCTATAAACTATATACTTTATTACTTTATATAGTATATATATATATATATAATCTATAGATTACATATATTAGTTATACATATATATACTATATTAATATAAATTATAATTTATAAACTATATACTTTATATAGTTCATACATATATAGTTTATATATATATATAAATACTATATTAATATAAACTATAGTTTATAAACTATATACTTTTTATAATTTATACATATATAGTTTATATACATAGTTTATATATATAGTTCATATAAACATAGTTTATATATATAAATTATAATAATTATATAGTTTATAATATAAATATAGTTTATATATAAACTTATATTATATTAATATAAATTATATACTTTAATATTTTATATAGTTTATATATTGTTTACACATAATTCATTAATAAATTTTATAGTTTATATATATAAACTATAAAATTTTTAATGTAAACTATTTATATAGTAATATATATGTACTTAATATACTATATATATAAATTATATACATAAATCTTATATATTATATATTTTTATATATAAAGTACATAGTTTATTAATAAACTACATATAAACTATATATATATTATATTTGTTTTTATATACTTTATATATATATATATATATATTATATTATAAGTGTTTTATTTTTTTCAATTTTTTAAATGAATGCAATTTACTCTATTTTTCATTATTTCTTTACATTTTGCATTTATTTTGATTTCACCCTTTTGTGTTTTTTTAATTTATTTCAATTTTAAGTCTTTCACTTTTATATGTATTCAATTTAGTCCTTAAATTTATATTTGCATCTTAATTTGGCCCATTGTTATTTGTTATTTATATTTTTGCAATTGGCCCATAATTTTTTAAATAGGTATAATTTAGTCCTTTTTTTATATTAATTTAAACCTCACATTTTAAGTTTATTTCGATTTGGTCCCTTACCTATGTGTGTTGTTTACTTTATTTAAAATTTTATTTGTAATTTTACATTTCTTCAATTTTATCCTTAAATTTATATTTTTTACAAAATTGATCCTTGTTTTTTTTTGTAATTTACTCGAAATCATATACAATTACAACTTGCAATTCAACAATCACGAAAGATGACAAAATAATTAATCCAAAAATAAAAAACGACCCGACCTGAACTCAATCCGTATACGGTAAACATCCGACCTGAATTTTATCTGTCAATGATGTGACCCGATCTGAACGAAATCCGACTGAAGTCCACCTGAACCTGAATTAACATTAGGGGTGTGCAAATCCGGGTACCCGGTAATCGGGTACCCGATACCCAGTTTTTAATTTTTTATTTTCAAATTATTAATTTAAAAAAATATATACACAAATTTAAATGTTCAAAACTTCGAATTACATACTCTAATATCCGAACATAAAATTTAAAAGTTCAAAATACAAAATATAATAATCCATAATATAATAATTCATTATATTTTATATAATTATATATAAAAAAATAAAAAAAATTAAAAACTAACCGGGTACTCGGGTACCCGGAAAAACTAGATTTTGTGACCCGGGCCCGACCCGGGAAATGTCGGGCCGGGTAATTTTTTTTAAAGAATTACCCGGTTTTTTTAGATCCGGGTCGGCGGGTCGGGTAATTTTGCACACCCCTAATTAACATAGTCTTTATTTGCTTCGGACTTGAACTGTTTTGACATGAACTGAAATCGATCCGAACTGAAACTAACCCGATCTGAACCCGATCTGGATCTGATGTCAAATCAATATGAAAATGACCCGAACTGATTTGACATGTACCCGACCTAATCCGAGTCAAACCATCAAATTGTTTGACTTGACTTGTACCCGATTTTACCCGACCTTCCAGGATCAGACTGAATCCTGACCGATTACCTAATTTTTAAGCATTACCCATATATCGTCCAAGGACACTCGGTAAGTGCTTTAGTGTAGTCCTGCTGTTTTTCAAACTTTACAAGGAAATAATCATTTTCCAGGTCGACGATATTGAATTTTCCTGATGGTTGCCATAGCACTGTTATCCTGTTCAGAAGAGCCCTAAAACCAATTTTTCCCCAGTAAGCGAACAATAATGGTTTGTCTCATGCTTTGATCAATTTGTTCGTGAACTCTGTTAGAGAACCTGAATCTTGGGAAAGATCCAGTGTTATCAATATTAACGTCGCCTTCTTGAAGAATTATATCATCTTCTATTTGAGTTTCCATGATATCTTTGTCTTTTTCCCTTGATTTTGCAACCATATCTGCATAAGAGAGTTTCTTTCCAGTAACTTCGTTAACCTCATCACCATTCTTGTTGCCAAGCGTATTGCCTGCTTCTTGCGTGTAGGAGTCCACTCCTAGAACTTCGTTTTCCACTATCATTTCCTCCTCTCCGTTTACAGCCTCCACTTCTCTATTCTTCACCTTCTTAGTGTCTCTGTGTTCCTCTTTGACTCGTGGGAGAGATAGGTCTCTCAAGAGAGGGGGCGAGATCAAGCTCTCCCCCTTGCGCCATACGGGATCAGAAAAGCTAAGGATCTTGATTCTTGGAGCAAAAATATCAGTGTGAGCTATATAATTTGAATAAAGTTTACTCTTTAATTACTGTAAAAGTTAAGAAGAATTTTGTAGTTTGATTTAAATTTATTGATGAAATTATTTTGGTTTAAACAAATATTGGACCATCTCAATTCCATAGCCTTCAAGCTTCCTACAATATACACATTCAATGTATATAAGATACGAGTATTGATTTAAAAGCCAAAATTCTACAAATAAGAATAAGAAGAGGATCTTATTTTCTAGCTGAAACCAGAAAATTTAACAACTATATGTTAATATGACACCTATTACTATAAAGCAAAGAATAATTTAGCTTCAATGCTCCAGCATTATCTCACCTTAGATTCTGATTCCATTTCTATAATTTCTGCGTTTTAGAGTGAGAAAAACTAAAACTTGCGTCGTTTTAGAAGGTTTATTTGAATTGTTCCATGAGACTGACTTGATATTTACGGTAAATGAGAGTAAATAGATGCTAAATAAGAAAATATCATTAATTTGAGGTTCAATAGATTTTAAGAGCGACTGATATATGGTAATATCATATAAGGTATGATTAGCAACCCAACCTGCAAATTTATGATTCTTCTCTGCCTTTAAAATCATATTAGACCCTTTTCTAGATTTTCAAAATTACGAAAAAGGTAAACTAATGAAAGTTCTTTTGTCAATGGCAAACTCTTGAATTCAAACACTACATTTCATCACAAAAGTGTTATAAATAGTGACATTTAACATTGCTACGGCCATAAGTTTTGGGGTGACAGAAATTTTGCTTAATCGACTTTATCATTGTCATGAATATGTCAAAAAAAGTACTATTATTACGAAAATGACACTGAAGAAAGAAATTCTTACATGTTCTTCTAGTTACAAAATGGGATTTATATTCAATGTTCACATGGACTGTCTATATGACCTACATTCAAGATTGTTCTCCAGCAGTAACATCGTACGAGAAACTCCACACAGAAGCACAATTCTCGTCACCTACATGCAAATACGGGTCGGAATCATTGACAGATATTGTTTGCATTTATGAACAAGACCAGCTTATATAATCATTGCCGCAATGCACAAGTATTAGTGAAATGAAACAAGTAACTTTGCATTTATGAACAAGACCAGCTTATATAATCATTGCCGCAATGCACAAGTATTAGTGAAATGAAACAAGTAACAATAAAAACCATAATACGAAGTTAGTAAGAGAGTGGATTGGGAAGGACTAGTTATCGATGTAACTGAAGTACCTCTCAACTGCAAATCCTCATCGTCATCATCCTCGAGATTTTGAAATCTTCGGTGGCCTGATGAAGAGACAGCCATTGGCAGGAAAGGATGGAAAGAGAAACCATTGACGGTATCTGTAGATTATATAAAAATTAGCGAGGAACAGAACATTGTCAAGATAAGCAAAAATGAATTCTGAAAGATAAATAGAATGTCAAACCAGCTGCAGCCTGAAATCCTGATACCCATTGCCCGGTTTGTAAATCATAAATATGAACAAGACCATCCTGGAAATAATTTTCAGAAAAATCAGCACAATATAAATCATGCATTAACATTAGATCAAAAGTGATGGATAGAAAACAAAATTTTACCTGGCCACCTGTACTAAGATGCTGACCTGCGCAATCAATATCAAAAGCTATTCGTTGGTTGGTAGATTCAGATGATCTGTAAAACCTACAAACAAGGTGCAAATAAGACAGACTTAAATTTTGTCACTAGCAGTGGGCATGATAAAATTTAAACTTGCGGTCACGAAAATTACAAACCACATAAGAAAATCGATATATCCACTTCTTATTGTAGTTTTTTGAAGCCACAAACAAGCTTGCTGGCATTAAAATACAATGTGTTCAAATTACTTTGTTTCTGAGATACTTAGGGGGTGCTCCAAAGAATATATTTACTTTTCTTTTTCAAAAGAAAAAATTAAAATATATATATATATATTCAGCACCATCCATAAAATCATATTACTTACTTGTAGATAACTTCAACAGCTTTCCTTATGTCCCAACACATGATATAAGGATCCTAAAGGATAAATTTTGACAACAGAAACGGTCAATGTCATGCAGATATGCAAAGGAAGAGAGTAAATTTCCTCAAAAGGAAAAATCAGAATGGAATAAAAAACACAGACAGAGGTGATGCCATGTACTCACCAATAGACATATTATAACAAATTATAGTACTAATTTGGGGAAAATTTGTGAAATCAGTCAAGGAAAGGATTCTGCTTACAAGTTTGGTCGTTTAGACATAGATTGATTTGAAATACAACCACCATTCTGTGGATTTGATCAAAACGTGAAAATTACTTGATTAATCCACAAGTTAGCATTACTAAGTTATTGTTATATAAAAGTCAACAAAAACAAAAAGCATTTTAGATCCTTGAACTACGTTCATAACAAAGGGATAAACTCTAGTTGGCATAAACATTTCTGGCATCTGGTGAGTCAATATTGTCGTGGCATACAACAATGATTGCATCGTCAGGAAACAGAAAAGAGCAAGCAGAATCTGTCTTTTGTTAAGTTGGTTATATGTGGAATGAGGAATATGAAGAGAACGTTACCTTCCGGGCTCCAGTATATAGATAATTCCCATCTTTTGAAAATTGCACCTGAAATAAAGGTGAAAAAGAAAAAGAAAACTCTTCGCCTTGCCTTGTTAATAAAATAAATAAAACCACGTGAATGAGAATAAATGCTCACTTACATGAGTTACACCACCTCCTTGGCCATGTAAAACATATAAGAGCTCCATATTATCTTCCCTATATATTGCAGTAGTCTGGCTGTAAGATCCCGTTGCTAGCATTCCAGTGTGAGTAGGACAAAAAGCAATTGCTGATATAATACCTGTAATCGAATAGTAAGATCATCACAAACATGCTTTAGCTTCAGTAGGATCATTAACTAGCTCAGTATGAAAATTACCTGTTTGACCTTCTTTGTTTCCTTGTAGTGTTGAATATTGTGCAAAATCTCGACCAGGGCGGTGTACATCGAACACTCTAACAGACTTGTTGTACCCAGCAAATAACCTACAAGAATAAAGAAGAAATAAAGCAATGTCAGTAGAAGCCAGTGAAAGAGACTATGTTACAATTGAAGTTTTTTGAAAGTATAACCGGAGCATTCCCCAAAGGTAATATAGGTTTCAAATTTTATATACATGAGACAATACAGGTTTCAAATTGATATTTTTCGAAAATCTCAAGAAAAAATTTTCAAGCTCAAAACATAAAAACTCGATTCAACAAAAAGGACATGCAGCAAATTATGATGCTTACTTAGTCCCTGCAGGATTAAATGAAACTGAAATTGCAGCAGTGATTTCATCCACGGCATCATAAGCTCGGTATGTACAACGCAACTGTATGACACCAAATTTGGTAAATGCAAATAGTTAACAAACCCTATCTGCTTATTGCGCATTCAGTCTAATCATCAAGTTCTATTAAAGTCCATAATGAAAGATCATTTATCCCATTCTAAAAGCAAAATGTGACCAAAATGAATGATTACCAGGCCAGAAGTAGCATCCCAAAGATGAATTGGATGGTCACGAGTACTGGTAGCAAACACACAGGTAACAGGGTCTACACCAAACAACATTGCAGACAAATGACTAAATTTTAACCACAAATCAAAGTAAAACCTAACAGCATTATTGACGAAAATGTAAAGGAAAAAGAAACACCTGAAGATGACATGTACGGATACCAACAGAAATCGTAAACAGATTCCCCTTCACTCACAACAAGTTGCGCAGCATAGGAATCTATACGTAAATAAGCAAACCACAAACTAAATCTCAAAAGAGTCCCTCAGGTTTCTCCTTCAAAACATGTTGAAAGTTGTAACTAGTATATAAGAAATTACCTTCTTCAGAGACTGAAGAATAAGCAGCAGTTTGGTCATTGCTTCCATAATCCGGCCTAATAACAATTTTTAAAGCACGGAATAATGAAAATCCACAAGAAATAAACCATAAAAAATTGGGCAACACATACACACACAGAGTAATAGAAAATATTACAAGGAGAAAAGGCGAAGAGTATTATCCTCGGAACTGGCGAGAAAACAAGAGCCGTCAGGAGACCTGCAAAGACCAAACCCGTAAAACTCAAAATTAAAAGAAGAAAAATTACAAGGAGGGGTTAAAGGGGCAATGAAAATACCATTTGACGCCTTTGAGAAAATTGTTAGGGTTGGGACCTGTTCTGAACTGCTTATGAAAGTGGTAAGTTCTGTAGGGAGGAATATCGAATCTAATCTTAGGCCACTGATAGTCTTGTAACTTCGGAGATTCAGAGTTTTCCGTTGATTCGATTTGGGAGTTTGGTTGCTGATTCTCTTCTTCTAGCTCCTCTTCTCCCATTTTTGTCGCCAAAATATCAAGCTTTGAGAAAGAGGAGCTCTGAACCGAGTGTGTGGCGTTGTCTCTGTGTCTTTTCTCTTCTTTTGCACCTCCTACGTTTTTCTAAATATATTTTTTCCGAATAAACCTCTGAACTTTAGTGTTATTGCATTTTCGCTACGACATTTTCCCTTTTTTATCATTTTATTGACAAATTGAAATTTGTTTGGACTTGTCAGGGTAAAAATATCATAAAAGTTCCTGTACTATACATAAGATTGCAATTTGATCTCTCTATTTATTTTGACATAGGAAGGAGTTTCAAGTTCTATTGATCGATTAAAAATTTTCTTTCACTGCATAGGTTTAATATTGATTTCTCTATATACTAATTAAAAGAGTTAGAGAAGAAATACGTCAAGGGAGATACTAAAGTGGTTCTTACTTCTTAACCACTTGATACAGAGATTATCGATATCCTCTAAAAATTGGGATTTGAAATGTGATTGTAAGGCCATATACCTAATTGTTAATTTTCGGTTAATTTTCGGTTAATTATCAAGCGATGAACTCAAACCCAGAAGAGAAGGGAGAAATGGGTGTCTCAGCCTTGTTAAGAACCCAATTTAATGGTGAGCTCAACGGTGTCCGCCATTCTTAGACTTTTAGACAACTTTGAGAGCAGGCAAGGAACGATAGGTGGGAACAGTGGCTATGTTATAGACGAGGAAGACTGTGCCCATTGCTCAGTTACGAAGCATTTCGATGGCTCAGGTTATCAAAATCTAAGTTGAGAGTAAATGGTAGTGAAATTTTTGAAGATGATGGACGCTCCATTTTCAGAGAGAAAGAAGTGGGGTTGAATAAAGGGACTGAAAAAGAAAGATTAGGACAATCAAACTGAAATCCAAACCAATATAGATTCAAAGTAATCTGGACAACAATTCATACCAAGAGGTGAGCTGAGAACTAACACAAGCATAAATAACATTTTAAAATTAAAGATTTATATGGGTGTAAATAAAATGACATACATATATAAGCTCAAATAGGTAAAAAGGTCAAATGAAATCCAAACAATATAGATTCAAAGTAATCTGGACAACAATTCATACCAAGAGGTGAGCTGAGAACTAACACAAGCATAAATAACATTTTAAAATTAAAGAATCCAACAATATAGATTCAAAGTAATCTGGACAACAATTCATACCAAGAGGTGAGCTGAGAACTAACACAAGCATAAATAACATTTTAAAATTAAAGATTTATATGGGTGTAAATAAAATGACATACATATATAAGCTCAAATAGGTAAAAAGGTTAATTTAATTTTTAAGATTATTACTTGAGTAAAATATTTAGATTTTCCATTTATATGAAGACGTGAATTATGTAGAAGAAAGTGAAATATATAAAAGTACAAGTGAGGAAATGACATTTTCATATGACAATAACAGATAACAAATGGCCAATGTGCTCGTAAGGATTGACCTGTGTCATGAAAGAAGGCAAAACTAATTTCACAAATTAGTTTCTTTCCAAATGAAACCTGAAAAATAGGTAGGTCATGCATGGTTGCGTTCACTGTGCAAAGAACTATTTAGATATGGATCATCCTTGTGCTTTGAGTACAATGGCAGATCAAGGGCTCTCTCTGCGATTCTTCTGTCCTCGTGAATCTTTGCTATCAGGCTTTCAAGGGATGGGAAATTAACCTGTTAGTATGCAAAAATCGTTAGCAAAAAGCACAGTTGTACAACCGGGGAAGAAAAAAGGTAAAAAAAAAACTGCGAAAGCATCCTAACTAATTTGAATGATTACCTCAGGCCGAATATAACCAACTATGACAAGACGCAATTCCTCTCCATAGAAATCCTCATTAAATTCATGAAGCAACCATGGCTCCTGCAGCACGAATTATGTTTCGTAAATAAAGAGTTGCAAACCATTATAAATCATTGATAAGACTTGTATCCGTTATCAACCAAGTTATACTATTGCACTCACTATAGTCTTTTCAGTATTGTTGAAATATGGGTTCCAACCAATACTCATGACCATTTTATAAACCCCTCTTGTGGATAATCCAGCCCAACCAAAATATACCCCTGAAGGATGCTCTGAAAGGAGACTCGAATGACCTTCGGTTGACAAATTGGCTGGAAATAAGAAACGAGAGAAAACAGGATATCAAGCAAAACAGAAGAAATAAGTAATGAAATATTAATAAACTTCCAACACTCTCGATGTTACATCAAAGCAAAATAGCTAAAAAATCCTTACCTAATAAATATTCAAAGGCGAAGATAGTTTCAAAATAAATACTAGCTTAACAAACAAGAACAGTGTATTACACACCTGTAGGGATTCCAAGTACTTTTGAGCCACGACCAAATCCCTTAATGACGGGACTGCCAATATACCAAGGTTCTGTTGGCAGAGTTCCCTTTATCCCTGCAATCACAGTATCATATCCTTATGAATACAGTTTTACTAAGTCAATGCTACTAATCACATTAAGAAGAAGATGGAGGAGTGAAGAAGTTTACAATCTTGAAATGGAGGTAGGCCCCACTTTTCAGGTTGCAAATCAAGCAGAGAGTTTATCACTTCATCTGCTGCAGGGATGTAAAGATCGGTTTGTTTTGGAACAGATGGCACAGCAACCACTTCCATTCCAGCAGCCTTACCAGCAGTAACACCTAGTCTGACATTGCCATTTCCCAGTATTGGAAAAAACTGTCAGATGCTTATTAGTTATTTAAAAAAATCTATGTTAATCAGTAAAAACATCAAAATATCTGAACATTGTAAGACCTTATGTAAGGACAAATGAAGCATTCTGGCAATGCTAAAGGCTAGCTCAAATGTCCCATATTGCCAAATTTAGTAGAGACTTGAGAGGGGTAGAGTTCATTTTATCTTTCTCATTTCATCAAGTCCTCCACATAAACCAATTACAGTTATAACTTCTCTTACGGAAAAAAGAAGCTGTAATTGTGAATATTTTGATACTTGTGCAAGAAGCCAGATGAATTATTTCAAGGAACAATTAGTACATAAAAAGGTTGAGGAATTGTTTCAAGGAACAAAATAATATCTTTAGAGCACAATCTGGGTAAAAAGTTGAACTTACTTATTACTAAAGAGGAAATGTAACAAAATGTGCATTATCAAATGGGAATACATATTAAACAGGATACTTAAATAAAAGCAGAGGTCACTTACATAGAATCTTCAATGACTAGGCAGCTTGAAGGTTCTCTATTTAGCCTTTTAGCAGCTTCCAGGAATCTTTAATAGAAAATCAAGAGTGTTAGACTTGGACAAGGTTAAAAAAGGAAGTCAGAATCTTATATTAAAATTAGATAACAATATATTTAACAGAATATCAGACCATATACTGATGCCACTCACATTTCAGGACTCGGCTTCCCTGCTGTCACTTCATCACCACCAACAATGACAGAGAAATAATCTCTCCAACCTGCAAAGGAAAGGATGGTTGACAACTCTAATAAGAGATTTGAGAGGCACAGAAGTTCGTACGAAGAAACCTTGGTGATAAGAAATTTTAGATTCTATGTTTCCCCTTGAAGAGTTTGAAGCTAAAGCCATAGGCACACCATGACCGCTCAAATGTTTAAGTAGCCGATTGGCACCTGGAAGAGGTTTAATGTTGCACAACCTACAATTACAAAGTGCGTAAATAAGAGCCTTAGCATTGTCATAATTCCAGTTACTTTAACAACACTGACATAAGACCTGACTTACTGGGCTGAGAATACTGGATAGAGTTCTGAAAGAAATTCATCCTTTCCACAAGGAAGACCATATTCTTCCACAACAGCTGCAGCAGCTTCCAATGGTGTTTTACCTATTATTTTTTTAGCTTCTCTTCCATCCCATTGTTTCCCATACTTGGGCAAAAATCCCTTTAAAACCTCACTTACTACACCATCTGTCATTTAATTAAAAACAACAAATCGTTACTATATAAATCAATACTCTTATTCCTTTGCATAACATCAAGAAAGCAATATCAAATCTTTTAAAAATTGTATCCATAATCATAGCACAACCAATAACAGGTTCCTAGCAGTAAAAGAAGAAAGATAAAGAACAAAATTCAAAGTAATACGAAGAACGAAAGCTTACCAGTGTTAAGAAGAGTACCGTCCAGATCAAGGATAACACATGAAACCAACTTTTTCAAAGTTTTGGCCATCGATGGTCCAGCAACCAAAAATTAATCTCGAAACACTACCGCTGAAAGCGAGGGAAGCACTTATTAATTGCCGCAAATTAAAAGCAAAAAATGTAATTGAAACTAAAGAAAAAAATATCAATAGGATCTATATTTTGTAAATATTGACAAAATATTAAAAGAAAAATAAAAACGGTAAAAGAATATCCGAAAGAAAAGCTTACAATGGAAAATTGAACAGTTAATTGGCGCCGTCCAAAGCAGGAATGGAGGCGTTGGCTAGTAATCGATTGCCAATGACGGTGAGTCCAGTTTATGGCGGCCTCGACTCCCGGTAATTTATAATGTCCAGAAAATTCGACGAGGATTTTGCTTCTTTTCCTTTGGCTTGGCCGCTTGGAAAGAACCTTATGACTTCCACTTATATCAAATAAAAAAAAAAGAACCTGTGTGTTCCAATAGGAAAAGCCCACGTCAACAAAATATAGAACGGAAAAGGAAACTTTTATTAAGATGTCACTAAACAGTCTAAACTTTAATTTTTTTAAATTGATCACTCAACTTTAAAACATTTCAATGTAAACACTATATTTTGATTTTGAGTTCAATTTAAGAATTGGACCATTAAATTCAAAACAATGCAAAATGGTAGCTTTTTTTTGCTGACATAAAAGTCAAAAATATTTTTTATTCTATTTTATTATCTTCATCGTTAAAATTAAGACTTTTCCATACATTTTTTAGTCATAGTTTTAAAACGTTATTCTTCGACGTCTTTTATAATCACCATAGACACCAACAAACTCGTACCACTTATAATATTTAAGTTTAAAATATTTATGCATTTAATAAGGTATACTATGGGCAGAATGTGTCACGCACGTAAACTATGTGATATAAACTCTGGAAAG